CTGCGCCCCTTTCTCCAGGACCTGCGCCGACTTACTCAGCCGTGGCACAGGCCTCCGCTCCTCGATCCCCTCGCCGCCAAAACGGTGGCGCATCACTCATCCGCTTGTCGGACATTGCCTTGTATGACGATACAGGCATACGCGTATCTCGGTGGCTGCAGTTTGCCACCCGCACACTCCAGCTCATGGGCGCCACACCCGAGACGTGGGTAAGTCAGCTCTCCACGCGCCTGCGTGGCGGTCCTTTCGAGGCTTGGGAGGATTTCTATGCCTACTCCCTTCGTGAGGGTCGGACTCCGACCTTCGTGGATTTCCAGGCGTTCCTCGAGGATCGGTTCGGAGCCCGATACGACGTGACTGACGCCTTCGAGCGTGTCGTCACTACACGCTGGTCCGACTCTGGTGGCGCTGCCGGCCTGGATCGCCACATTCAGGTCTTTCAGGACGCCCGCCTCGTTTGCGACGTGGCGTTCCTCCCCGAGGCTGCCCTTATCGATCGTTTCTTGGCCAGGCTTCCGCTCGAGTACCACTCCGAGCTATGGCGGTACGAGTTCACATCGGCCCCACAAGCTTACGAGGCCGCCAAGGACCACCAGCGGATGCGAGCCCGTCTTAACCCCGCCTCCTCCTCCCAGCCCCAGCGCACGGGCTACGCCTCCTCCTCCTCTCACGGCACTTCCCGAGGCCGTTCCCCTTTCCGCGGTCGCCCCCGCCGTTCCACGCAGCAGGGCTGCCCCTTCTCGCGCCGCTTCAGCGCGCTGGAGTATGGCGAGCAGGACGTTGTTGCCCCACTGTCACCTTAGGGCGACCACAGCGACGACCTCGATCTCTGCGAGGCCGTCCACTATCACTTGGAGGACTCGACCCTCCCTGCAGCGGAGCGCCTTCAGCTTGCGCTCTCCGCCCTCTCTCGGGCACGCAGTCGCCCCGGTCACGCTGGCGCGTCGCCCCCCGAGGTCCCTCAGGAGGACCTCCCTCAGGGCTTCGTCCCTCCTCGCGGTTTCCTTTCCGCTGAGGAGCACGCGGCTATTCTGGGCCGACGTGGGTGTTTGCGCTGCCGCTTGGACGGTCATACCTCCTCGCAATGCCCTTTCACTACTGCCCTCAACCACCACTACGCTGATCTTTCTCGTCAGCGTCGTGCTCAGTCCCCCCCCGGCGCGTCATGTCCCCACGGCGCCTCCTAGACACGGTGCAGTGTACACCTGCGCCCTCCTCAGTAGTGGGTTTCCCGACATCTCCGTTGCGGTTCGCCCCTCTCGCTACTGGAGTTGAGGTATCGCAGGACTCGATAGAGTGTACTCAGCCCTCTGCCGCAGTACCGTCTGCGCCTTCGCAGACCACCGTCTCCCCTCCTTCCCCGCCGCGACTACCGACGCGTCGAGCCATTCGCTCAGCCCGTTGCAGCGAGCAGCTTGCTACTCGCGAGGACGTTGTAACCTCTCTTCTGGACTTGAGCATGCTCCAGGCTCGTGAGGAGCGACTCACCCTCCATGTCGCTGCACTGCCTCGCCTTCTCGCCATCCTCTCTGACCCTGATCGCACCCTCCCGATCATCCCAGTACGACTTGGGACATCCACGAGGGTGTACTCAGCGCTGTGGGATTCCGGTTCTCAGGGCGACTTCATTCACCCACGCGTGGTGAAGGAAGCCCGTTTACCCACCACAGGGTCTCCGACTCACATCTCCGTTACCCTAGGGGATGACAAGATCCAGCGCTTCTTTGATCAGACGGTCACCGACCTCCCCTTCTTCCTCACTCTCGAGCCGACTGATCATTCCCCGGCGTCTCGTCGCCACTGCTCCTCTGCACATTTCGATGTGATGGAGACGGGGTACGACTTCATTCTCGGCACTCCGTGGTCTTGTCGGTTCCGCAGCACCGAGGCCGATTGGGCGACCAACACTCTCGTTCTCAAAACGAAGTATGGACAGACGTATCGCGTACCTTTCATAGGTACCACGGCGATACCACGCCCCGATCCTCCTCCCCCGGAGCCTTCAGTGCCCACACCACCCCCCTCTATCACTGTCACCTCGCCTCGGCAGTTCGCTCACTTCATTCGACAGGATGACGTCACCTTCTTTATGGTGGACGTAACGGATCTCTTACACTATGATCCACCCTGTCCCGACGTCGACCTCATTCCTCTGGAGCCAGATCCTCCCTCTATCTCCATGGCTCCCATCTCTACTTTCGTCCCTCCGCCGTCCGTCGAGTCCACCCCGTCGTCGGGCGTTGACGCTGACGCTGAGGAACTCGCACGATATACGGCTGACCTGGAGCCCGCAGTTCGTGACCTCATCCAAGAGTACCACGACGTTTTCCCATCGTCGTTCTCGTACGCCAGCATCCCACCGATGCGTGACGTCGAGCACTCCATTCAGCTTGTGCCTGACTATCGTGTTCACCACCAGGCACCCTACAGACTCTCGATTCCCGAGGCCACCGAACTCAAGCATCAGCTTGAGGAGCTCCTGAGACTGGGTTTCATTAAACCCAGCAACTCCCCGTGGGGTGCACCCGTCCTCTTTGCTCGCAAAGCGGATGGAACTCTCCGTCTCTGCATCGACTATCACGGTCTCAACCGCTACACGGTTAAGAACAGCTACCCCATGCCTCGTTCAGATGAGCTGTTCGATCGCCTAACAGGCAACCGCTTCTTTACGAAGATTGATCTTCGTAGCGGTTACCATCAGATCCGCGTCGCCGCAGCCGACCAACCGAAGACAGTGTTCCGATCGCGCTTCGGCCACTACGAGTTTACGGTGATGCCATTCGGTCTCAGCAATGCACCCGCCACCTTCCTGAAGGCGATGAACGACATCTTTAGGGACATCCTGGAGCAGTACGTTCTTGTCTACCTCGACGGTATCCTGGTCTACAGTCGTACCCTTGAGGAGCACCTCAGACACCTCCGCGACGTCCTTGACCACTTGCGCAGACATGGCTTCTACGCCAAGCTGAGCAAGTGCTGCTTTGCCCAGCACAAAGTGGATTTCTTAGGACAATACGTGTCTGACCAGGGTCTGCATATGGACGACGTGAAGATCACTGCTATTGCGGAGTGGCCCGCCCCCACATCCGCCAAGCAGCTTCGCAGCTTCCTAGGCCTGACCAGCTATTATAGTAACTTCATCCGGGGATACGCTAGGTATTCCTACATCCTTACCTCCACCCTCCTCTGAAAGAACCCACCCTGGGCTTGGACACCCCTCCACGAGGACGCCTTCCGCGCCCTCAAGAAGGCGGTGACATGCGCACCGTTCTTCACCTACCCGATTTTGATCGCCCTTTTATCCTCACCACCGATGCGTCAAACTTTGCTGTAGGAGCAGTGCTTTCTCGTGTCTTCCCCTCCTCTCCTGATTCCTCTCATCCTCGTATCCCTCGCTTCCCACCACCTACCCCTACCACTGCTTCCCSACTAACGCCTACTCGTCCAGCTACTGACGAGCCCTCTATTGACTATTCTCCTACCATCGCCGAGGACGGCACTGTCGAGTCTCGCTCAGGTGATTGTCCGATAGC